TTTCTTTCTTTCTTTCTTTCTTTCTTTCTTTCTTTCTTTCTTTCTTTCTTTCCTTTCTCATTTCTTTTTCTTTCTTTCTTTCACTCTCTCTCCCCCCCCCTTTTCTTTCAGTCCCATTCTCTCCCTTCCATTCCCACCTGCACCCCTTCTTTTTCTTTCACTCTTCTTCATCTTCTTCAGCCTCTGGTTTTTCCTGGCTATTTGAGCCTGACCCTGCAGGTTTGTTTTCTTTTTTCCACTTCATCCGTCTGTTCTGGAACCAGATTTTGATCTGTCTTTCTGTAAGACATAAAGCATGGGCGATCTCAATGCGTCGCCTTCTGGTCAAGTAACGGTTGTAATGGAATTCTTTCTCCAGTTCCAGGGTCTGGTACCTGGTATAGGTCTGGCGGCCCCTCTTTCTGTCAGTCCCTGCAAAACAATAAAGTAGAATTTTAAAAGTTTATTTTGGTTTTTCACGTCTTTATGGGTGTCTGTGTTTTAACATGCTTTACCCCCAGCCATATTCAACATCCGTTTAAGACTATCTAGTTTTAAATAAGGCACATTGATTCCTTATATAAAGGCTGTATTTATTTTTTACTTTGACACCATTAGAACAAATTAAAAGTATATTACATATTCTGAATTTCACCAATGATTTTTTTTCAGCTTTTTTAGGCAGGAATTTAATGTTCAGTTCTATCATTTCAAATAAATGTTGCGGGTTATCAGGTGCACAACATAAGCTTACTGATGCTTACTTGGAGGCATATCAAGGTGAATTTAAGGCAAGGATTGCAGATTGAATGGATTTAGGACAGTTTACTGGTGATGCAAATTTTACTCAAGGAGATTCAATACATTCTTTTTTTAAATGTCCAGATTTCTGTCCCTACCAATAAAGATCAGTAAAAATTCCTGTTGAGGAATGCAAGCATCTATGAAAGGTTCTATTAAAAGCTTGCTATTTATTTCCTCATAAGGTGTGTGATAAGTGTTAAATCATGCAACAAGAATTGGGGTAGATGAAATTACAAGGAAGCCTCTTCCCTGCAGAAATTTCCACATCTGGTAAACTTCTTTAAGTCAGTGAAGGTTAATGTGTGGGTAATGTTACTTCCTTCCTTTTCCAGGTTGTGTTTTATTTTATTCCACCCCTTCCCCTGAGGAAAAAAAAATGGTATTTGGATCTTTTTCATTAGGAAATTCGGAAGCTGCTGGGCTCAGTTAGTCGACATGGGAATTCCTCAAAGCAAGCGTCCTGTCTTTGACCACAACTATTTACTCGGGCATCCAAAGAATCTGGATTCAAACCAGGAATCAGTTCTGCAGTCATTTCTTGATGGCCTGATCCCCCTAACAGGTTCGAGGCTCCGGCTTTTGAGTAAATGGGTTTCATCGCCGGTTCTTGCACGAGCTAAAATAGCCTTACTTTACTTCCCTGAAATGTGTTGATTGACTTAGTTCATTTACTGTTTAGCAAGAGGGGGAGAGGGGGCGTAGGTCTTCGGCTTTCGGGAAAAAAAAGCAACAAAGTCCGCCGGATATAAAGAGGGAGAAAATAAGATGTCTGTGGAATGTGGGTTGTAAACTCTGCTGAACGGGACGCTGTAAACATCTCGAATGGCCCGTCTTTCTTCGGCAGGGGAATCTCCCAATTCCAGGCAAGGAGCAAGGAAATGTGAGGTGGGGGGCCCTGGGGGGGGGAGGCGAGGGGGAGAAAAAGGTAACGAGAGACTGAGTGGAAAAAGGAATCCCATTTTCATTGCATTTGTCAGAATGGGGAAAGAAGCCACCAGACCCTCCATAAGAGGTCTGCCTCGCGTCCTGCTTGCGTTCCGTCCTTCAATATTTCGCCTTCTCTTCCAGCACCAAAGCAGCAAGAATCGCTTTGCTGCTATTTTTTTAAAAAGTGGAGGGAAAAAAGGACGTCCTTCTTAACTGCCTCTCCCCCATCCCACGCCAGACAACCCCAAAGCTGGGCTTTGATATGCAATCTGTAAATCACAGTTTATGGATTACCTAATAAGAAAGAAAAGTTAACCTATTATATTGGCTCTTGAAGTTACTGTAGCTACTGCGCCTTCATGTTCACACACACACACCGCCTTTGTTCCCCCACCCCCCACCCCGGCTTTGGTCTCCTTTCTTGCCGTTTGGATAGAGACCTAGCCTGAATTTTTACCCTCACCCACCTCTTTCCATTCCAGATGTATCAAATAACTACGTGGGGCATAAAATGCCTTTAAACAGAACTTTACCACGACGTCCCCCAATCAGGTGCCTCCACAAGCGTGGGACCGCAACTTATATTGTAGCTGAGCATGATGGTAGCTGTAGTCAGCGCATCCGGAGGGCATCAGAGTGAGGAAGGCTGCACTGGAAGATCAGTGGAAAATTGGCAGATTTCAGGATAGTCGAGGCTGGTAGAATCGCCAAAGAGGGAGCCCTTCCTGTTCCTACAGACATCCGTTTAGTTACCTGCCTATTGATCTATGGACAACCTCAGACTGAATCATGTTCCCTCTCACACTGAAATGACCACTCTCACTAACATTCTAGCTCTGGAAGAATGTGGGGAATTTGCCCCCTTTCAATTTTCTCATCACCTCTAGCCTGCGGTTGTCAGCCTGGGAGACAGAGAAAAAAATTAGGGGCTCATATTCGAGAATGTTATCTACTCCAGAGAACACTTGTTATTACCAATGTGGCAGGAGAATCATTTACACACACAAAGACCACAATCTGTTCAGTACTTGCTGATCCAACAGAAGTCTAACCAATTTTCCTACATTTAACAATAAGGGGAAAGAGTGATCTCCCAGTGTTTAACTCGTGCCTTCCTCCACCTGTTAGTTCCTAAGAAACTTAACATAAACTTGAAAAGGCAACATTAAGAGACACACCACCTCTTACAGTGCAGTCCTATATATGATTACTCAGAGGTAAATACTACTGATTTCCCTTCAGATGTGTGCATAGGATTGCAACCTAAACAATCTTTTTCTTCCACTTCAACCTGATGAAGTGTTCTGTGCTCCTCAGAAGTCTACATCTGTAGGATTCGATTTGGTTGGCTTTAATACAATGTGCTTGTTCTACTGGGATCCTGTAACAGTAATTGGTTTGATGGGGTTGATTTGTGGGAATAAGAAAGGGAAGCACCGATCCCACCAAGCATGGAAGAGAAATCTGGCTCTCAGGAGAAGCGCAGAGCTATTATTGAATGTGATAACGGTGCTATAACGGGTTAAGGACAGTTTAGCCTAGAGAGCCCAGTGGTGGGTGCTTCCTTCTTTCCCTCTGTGTTCTGCAAGATATCTTGGAGTGTAGCTCGCACTGCTTTTCCTAACAACGGTGTAACACCAGGTAGAAGACAGAGAAAAGTAGGCAGGTCAGACTGCTGGTACTTAACGCAGACTAAACACAATTGGGGAGGGGGGAGATTAGGCGTAATGCATCTCTTCTACTCTCACAGAGTCCTTTGGTACCACAAGAAGTCTCTTATGTACATTCCTGTTCCAAAACTTGACACACGCATACATTTTAGGGTGGGTTGGGGAAAGGACGATATTCTCTGATTCCCTTTCCGATTTCCAGAGTCTGGTGGGTCTGAACTGCGTCTGCAATTGCAAGTCCTGAGAGGGGAAGGACGTAGGACATTTGGGGGAGGGGGATTCCTGTTCCGATGGAATGGTCTTTTTAAAAACAAAACAAACCCCAGCAGTGTTTGGACTCGTGTCTTCTGTGCACAAATCAACCTCTCCTCGTTTGGTTCTCTACCGCTGACTCCTTCCGTCTTTTTTTTCCCTGCCTGGTGTCATTTTAAAAACATTTGTAAAGGAGAACGGCTAAGCAATCACCAGGAATCAACCTCCTGAGCAGGATTTGAGCGAAACTTACTTCTAAGTTTATGTGTTTGCAATCCTTGAGGAAGGAAGGAAGGAAGGAAGGAAGGAAGGAAGGAAGGAAGGAAGGAAGGAAGGAAGGAAGGATAGTGAAACAAGACTTTGTCTTCTCACGATCTCTCTCTCACTCTTCTTCTCTTCCACCCCCCACCCCCTTAATAGTACAGCTTGGTTTTCCCAAGACATCCTGTCTTCGGTATACAGGAAGCCAGCAGCAGAAACAACAGAGGGAATAAATATTTAAATGTTTGTTTGTTTGTTTGTTTAAGGGCTACCTTCTTGTGGGATCTCAGCGAGAGAGGGGGAGGGGAGAGAGAGATTCCTTTTGAGGAGGCAAACGTCATAAAAGGAGTTCAGCACCATCTTTTCCTCCCCCACTCCCAATATCACCACTTCCCCCCCTCCCGACCGCTGATCCTGGTTTCTCCCCGAGGTTTTCCCGCCACCGCCGCCATTCTCCCGAAGGATCTCACCTGTGCTTCTCATCCAAGGATATATTCGCAAGTTGTTTTCATGCCGCAAGTCCGGGTCTCTCTGGTCGCTTTTGTTACAGTTGGGCTTGGACGCGTCTCCCGGACACATCATGGAGAGGTTTTGCTCAAAGGGGGAACAGTGCATGTTGAAGGAGCTGGTGTCCAGACCGTAGCCGCTGGAATACATGCCGGGGGGCTGGGGGTGCATGCCTCCCCCGCTAGGGTAGAGACCAGGCATGGAAGCAGCGAAAGAGGCCGTGGAACTGGAGCCATAGCCGGTGCGCTGGGCATTGGAAGCGAATGCGCAAGAAGTTTGCTCGGGAAACACTCCGGAGGGGAAAACCGAATTTGCGGCCTGATATTTAGAAAATAAAGCATTCGCATAATACAATGAACTCATAATCTGGCCGGGTGATTTGTAGGCCGGGACGTTTTAGTGTCGGTTTTACGAGGTACCGTGATATATTACGGAATTAG